ATGTAATTTATCGTTATAGATTCCGCTAAATATATATATACATGCGTGCGTGCGCGTGTGTGTGTGTGTGTGTGTGTGTGCGTGCGTGTAAATATATACAGATATACAGAGTCCACTTAAATCAAACATCTTGAATATTTCGCTTATTTTTGATGACACAAAAAATTTTTCAAACGAAAGTGAAACAATTTCGAGGGGGATGTATTTTGGTCATGTTTTTTTTCTAGGTGGAGACGCCAAAAAGATATGAAGGTTATCTCCACTTTTTAAAATAGAATTGTATGATTTTTTTTTTATATATTTTTTATATATTATGATTCTTCTAATTATTCTGCATAAAAGTATTAAGGTAGTACATCAAAAACCAATAGTTGACGAAGGTACGATTACCAAAAAGTTAATAATTTAGTTATTTAACATTTTATGTTAATATGTGCCAGAATAAAGTATAAAATATCTCGAAACTATTGGTTTTTTGTTATTACCTTAATTTTTTTTATATGCAGAATAATTAGAGAAATCATATTGTGTAAAAGAAATCACACAATTCCATTTAAAAAAGTGGAGGTGATGGTCTCTCTCTCCTTCCACTTTCAATTGAAACATTTTTTTATATCATCAAAAATAAGCACGCACATATGCACGCTTGCACACATACAAAAAGGGTGTCTCAATATATAACTCAATATATTACTCAATTACCATCTGAAATATATTCTAATATATAAGGTGTAAAGAAAAATTTATATAATCAAAATTACACGGTGTAAAGAGAGCTATCATATGGTGATAATAATTTTTGACCAGGTGAAGGCGCTTCGGAGATTTCAAGATCAATTTCGTTTTTTTAAATAGGATTATATAAATTTTTTTACATGATATGATTTAATTATTTAATTATTCTGCATATAAAAGTATTAAGGTGTAATAATAATATTAAAAAATCAAAGTTTACAAGATATTTTACACTTTATTCTGGCACAAAAATTCATAATTTACGAGTTATTTGATATAAAATATCGAATAACTCGTAAATTATAAATTTTTTGATAATCGTACCTTAATACTTTTTTTTATGAACAGAATAATGAAATGAATCAGTTGATATAAAAAAAACACATAGTTGCTTATTTAAAAAATTATCCATCATTTTGCATACATATTTTTTTTAAAGCAACGACGTGTTTTCTTTACACTAACTGATTCGGTTCATTATTCTGTTCATAAAAATATTAAGGTACAAAATATAAGATTATCAAAAAATATAAAAATATATATATTAAAGTTATTAAAAAATTTATAATTTATGAATTATTCAACATTTTTTATGTCAATATGTGCCATAAAGTGTAAATATCTCTTAAACTATTAATTTTTTTTATATCACTATCTTAATACTTTTATATGCAGAATAATTAGAGGAATCATATTGTGTAAAAACAATCAAACCATTTTAATTAAAAAATGGAGATGACTTTCATTTCTTTTTTTGTCGTCTCCACATGGACGAAAATTATTATCATCATGATAGTCTCCTTTACACCGTGTAATTTTGGTTATATAAATCTTTTTCTACACCTTATTTAATAAAAATAAATTTTTTTTTGTAGTTGAAAAGTTTTTGATATCAGCTATTAGACTCTGGAATCAAAAATAGAATGACCAATTTAAAAAAATCGATCTGACCTTGATCTGACATTGGTGATGTTACTCAAGGTCAAACTGATAACATCATTAAATAGATCTTTTTAAACCCTAAAATTTTTGTCTAAAACATTTTTCTTAAAAATACATACTTTTTGAGATATTTAGTTGAACTTTTGGCGGGCACTGTATATGTGCTGCATAAGAGCTTAATGAACGGTCATAAATAATTTACTTAATTCTATGAATTCTTTTTTTATTTTCATTATGGGTACATACTTGTCGCTGTCTAAAAGTTCAATGCAGCGTGATAAGATGTCACCTTTTATCATACCATTCACAATATTCCTTTCTCGACCTAATTTTCTGTACGTTTGAATTGCCATTAATTGTAATGTTTCATCTGACGAGTTTATGTTGTTTGCAATTTCATTTAATATAGAAAGATTGGAATCGGATGAAAGAGAAGTTTTGTACTTCAACTTAAATATTTCTTGTTCTACATCAAAATTGCGTTTTATCAATCGAATTTTTTTTATGGTTTTACACAGATCCATTTCGTCTATTTTTATTCGTAATATTCCCTAAGATACAAAATGTATCAAAAATAAATATATACAATTCGTATGTAGTGATTTATGTTAAATGATTAAAATGTAATAAAAATTATATGGAATATTAAAGAACATGCAATTTACATATAACATTCATTCTTAAATTTATGAACTATATGATTAAAATAAAAATATCTGCTATAAATCTTATTAAAATTCTATAAATCACAAAATAATTTACACTTACTTCGTCTTTAATATAAGCTTCAAAGTTTGTTGCGAGTACGTGATCATAATATTCTCCAGAAGACATTGTTTAGATTTTAGATGATTTACTGTAAATTTATTTGCATAAACGATAAAAAAAAATTAGAAATGAACATCTTTAAGATAATAATGTGAATATCATAACTGAATAACGAAAATCATGGAATAATGTCACATATAAAACGTGATTGCATTAAATATTGCTAATTTAAAATTTATCATATATGTAAAATGTTGAATATTTATTTGTATGGAAGTTTATAACGAATTAATAAAAAAAAAATCTTTATTTATATATTATCTAATATATAAATAAATTGATTTCAAACGTACTTTTACTAATCAGTCGGTGTAAAACTATCTGATTAAATTGCCGATTTTACTATATATGCTCGTGTTATTCGCTTTTCTTTGTCAAAAAAAATTTAAGTAACCTGTTATTATTGTCAAAAATAAAAAAGAAGAAAAATTTTATCTTTTACAATTCGATGAAAATAATTACCGAATAAAAAGTCAAAACTCCGCACTTGATTAAAGATGTCCGCAATGAACACGAGACTGAACAGTGCGTGAAGTCTTATTCTGGGATTTGCTGATATTCCTAATCCCGAAAATCAATTAATATCGAAAAATAACGAACATTTACGAATTCACTATTATCATCATACAATAAACTCTTTATTTTAGGTACGAACAACTGAACATGTTTTAACAGTGGTAGATCTAGTTTATATCTAACAACTGATTTGTACCCTGACCTCAGAGAGATAGACAGATAAGACTAAGGAAACTTCTAGAGTCCTAGGCTACGTTCCAAAACTTCCTCTTCCTGAGGAAAATTTTACTCGAAATATATAGTACCAGAGAGAAAGTATCTGAAAGAGGACATGCCGGCCCAAAATCTGTAACTGCAAAATGCTACTGCGCACTACTATCCCCTGACAAAGTGGATGCAAACTACTATACTATAACTCTGAGGGTAAAACGTCCACTTTTCTGAAGAGTAATACTTTTTAATTCCATGATAAATCAATACTTGCTTCATATAATCATATTATATTCACAAATTGTACATCAGAAATATTCTCTGCAATCTTATATGCGCGTAATGTTTATTTCGCTTAAAAGTATTAACATTAAGGTTATATTTTTATAAATGTAATATTTATATTTTAAATAAGCTATATAGATATAAATTAAATCATATTTCAAGCATTTTATTTTTATTAAACACATTTTTATAGTTTATTTACTTTATTTGTTATTATTTTCTTATTATATTGAAATTTGAAAAGCATATAATGACAAAATTAATCTAAACTTTTTTGTATATATATATTTTTTTTTTTCAAATTTTTAGTTGTAATAAGAAAATAATAACAAATAAAGTAAATAAACTATAAAAATATTAATAAAAATCAAATGCTTGAAATATAACTTAATTCATGTGTATATAACTTATTTAAAACATAAATATTAACACATTTGTAAAAATATAATATAACCTTAATGTTAATACTTTTAAGCGAAATAAACATCACGCGCATGTAAGATGGCAGAGAAGAATATTTCTGATGTACAATTTGTGAATGTAGCACGATATGAACCAAATATCGATTTATCATCTGGAGTTGAAAAACAGACATATTATCCTCAGAAAAGTGGACATATTATCCTCAGAAAAGTGGACGTATTATCCTCAGAACTAAGTAGTTTACACTCACTTTGTCAGGGGGCAGTAATGCGCAGCAGCATTTTGCGATTACAGGTTTTGGGACGGCATGTCCTCTCTCAGATGTGATTTCTCTGTGTGTGACTTGTGATCACATGACAGTCAATACTTCTAACTTTTCTCACAAGACGCGATGGCATTAAAATCAGCAGATCCTGATTTTCCATGAATTTTCGACACCTTGTTTGGAGCCCATTTTCAGACTTCGAGTTTGATCTCCTTATTACCATAGTATATGCAGTAACGCAACTCTCCTGATTTTGTTTCCCAAAATGGAGTACGCATGCGCGAAATAAATAAGTTGCGCCAGTAACGTCATTCTCTATTTCACTTCTTCCTTTTTCCAGAGCTGTTCTCTTTCAGAGCCATTTAAATACTATTTCTCTTTAATAATTTAAGTACATTGTTTCCCAGCTGGATTTCATTTTAGCTAGAAAATCTGCGTTTTGTGTGCAATTCTAATAATTTACTAAAACGCAAGCGATCTAGCAGAAAAACAAGCATCGTATACTGTAGTCATTAATTAAATTAAAAGTTTACAGTATAATATTTGTATCATACAACATTTATATAATTTTATATCTTCTTATTTTTGTATTTTTTTTTTGTTTTGCAGTGCATTACAATTATAAATCTATTTCTTTCAGTTTTATTACATTAACATTAAACTTTTATTTAAATTAAACTTTGATACAAATACCTAGAGAGAAAGAAAGAGAGAGAGAGAGAGAGAGAGGCAGAGAGAGAACGGAAAAATAAAAAGCAACTAAGAAAGAAATCAGATGGCGTTACTGGAAAACTTACTTATTTCGCGCATGCGCACTCCATTTTGGGAAACACTAACATCAAAAGTGCCGACAGAGAGTTGCGCTGTATATGTTGTGTTATTACTCTGCGATCAACACCTTATGCTGTCATTACTTAAAGTGAGCGTTGTACTGCACTTAGATAATCCTAAAACTCTATATATAAATAGCGCATTCTCCATTTTTTATTTATTAACTATGGATACGATCACCGCAATGCTGCAAACGCTTTGAAGCGTTTTTTTAATTGGTCAGTTTGTAAAATTCTTTCTTCTAATTGGTCCATCAAATGCTTCAAAGTATTTGTAGCGAGACTTTGACCACAGCCTATACCGCTAATAATACTAAGCGCTTATTAGACTGAGTCACAAATGGCGGTCAAAATAGCTAATAGGATGACTGTCGGCATTTTGGCTCAAATCAAAGGAATGCATTACTTTGATATATAGAGCTTTACTTAGGATACAGCACTAACTTCAGTTAAACTTATTTCAGTTTAAATTTAATCTAGTTATCGTTGAAAAAACAAACGACATAATTGTAACAATGCCGCGTTTAAATGAAATTCAATGTGCGCAAATCACTCTTTTGCAAGAAGGATTGAGCCAGATTGAACGATGTTGCAAGAGAAATAGGTGTTAATCAGTCCTCTATCTTTCGAGTTTTAATTTGTTATCAAAAAACAGAAAGATTTCGTCAAAAGAGAGGACAAGATCGAAGAGTAACGTTAGTTCGAGAAGATCGTCTCATCGTTAATGCGGCAATACAAAATCCAAAATAATTGCGCGACGAATTGCAAATAAAGTTCTCTCGCATAGACGAATTAGTGATCAAACGATCGCGTCTGCACAAAGGAACTTAAGATCACGGACTTGTGCGCCAATGTTATCTATGGCTCATCGATGTTCTCGTTTGCAAAATATGCTCGCATTTATGAAAATTGGACTGCTAGATAGTGGAATAACGTATTATTCATTGACGAATCGCGATTTTATCTTTTTAGTTCCGATGCAAGAATTTGGCATCGGCGGAGACATTGCTATAAACAAAATTACATCGAGCCTGTCCAAGCGTTTGATGGTGATTCCGTTATGATTGGGGTGGAATTTCAACGCATACACGCATGAATTGACGCTTGTCACTTTACCATCTCCGAGAATGACCGCGAAATGGAAGAAATTTTATGTTTTTATTCCGATGCGTCGTCAAATAAAACACAATTTTATCTTGATACAAGACAACTCTCGCCCACATTCCATCAGAATTGCAATTAACTTTCTCGAAAAAAATAACATCGAGATGCTTTCACAACCATCAATGAATGCAGATTTGAATTCCATTGAACATGTATAGGATATGATGGGAAGAAAATTACGAAGATTAGAGAAACCGCCAAATGTGCAACAAGTGGAAGCAGCATTAGTGAATATGATATGGGAAATTCCTCAGGCTTTAATTAGAATTTCTATCAATATGCGTGCATTTCAATGTAAATTGGGTATCTTATGAAGATAGAAAATAAAAAAAACAAGAAATAAATAATGTACCTACTTATTTTATATGATAAATATTCAGGCCCATATTCAGAACGCGCTTACAGCGATGTTAGCGCGCTACATGCTATAATTTACATTACGCATACTACAGAATTTCAGAGATAAAAGCGCGCTTTTATCGATAAAATACGGGCCTCAAAGTATATAAATTTAGATTAAACTTCGCAGCATACTGGAATGTCACGGAGGCAGATGCATCTTTCTCTAACAGTTGATGCTAGATAATCTAATAATGCTAGATAGAAAATAAGTTAGATAATCATATAAATGAGTTATAAAATATCAAACGATGTATCAACATAAAGTATAGGTACGTGGATTATTCAATAAAATACAGTATTGGTTCTTTTTG